CCCCCCCCCCCCCCCCCCCCCCCCGAGTTGGGTTTGAAAATGTCGTCATACACATGGAACAGCGTGTGTGCTTCTTCATCTCTGTTCATGGTGTGTTTCTTTATTCTTATCCAGATGGATTCCAAAATTGACTGTAATCATTTTCGCTTTACATTGTCCCATTTTGGCACATGCATGGCTGTTATATCTGACATATGATCTGTGATGGCGGATTTGTGTAAAACTCGACATAGAGAGTTTGGATCTGGTGTTGACTCCCTCACTTACATTTTCCATTACATCTTTCTTGTGTTCCTCTAGTCTTGTTTCTAATATTGTATTCCCGTCTCTCCAACATAAACTCTGTCACAGCTCCCACACCCGATTTCATGTACAAGAAAGTTTCCGAGTTTTGCGTGTGGTTTGACTGACACTCCGATGTTTTCCTTCCTCATTGCATTCATGATTTTTTCTGAAATTCCTTTCACGTATGGGATTGTAACTTGTCCTTTGTCAGAGTGAACAGACGAAACAGTCAACAGGTAAACCAAATTTCAAGATCTATCATAAATGAAAACTTTCTGACTATCAAAACTAAGATCCAATGAAACTATTTTCACTTTTTATGCATATGTTTATGTATCTTAATTTTAATATTTTTACTTCGTTTGTCATATAGTTTGATATTCTAGCTTGCTCAACATGAATTGATTAGATATCGACGTATGGCTATTATTATGGTAATGTGATGAAAAGCTCTTATTTATCGGAGGAAACAAAGCTAACAAATAACAATGGCTGCTGTAACCAATGGCGTCGTACAAACTATGTCACATGACTTTCCTTAGATACCAACAAACTTATAATCTTAGTGACCAGCGTCAGCCATCAGCAGAAGGTTGTCAGTGTTCCAACTAAACGCAGGGAGAAACGTACTTTGAGGGTAAGTTCTAAAGTTTTTCTGTATAGAAATTATTAAATGTTAACGAATTCAAGCTATCACATGTAGATATATGTATATATAGATATAGATATGACTTATGGAGCACAAGCTATGTTTGATCAGTTAATTTGGAACAATCTACTGACTGGGACATCGAAAGTTCTAGAATGACGAAAGTTCTAGGCTGTGAGCAAAGTCCCATGGGACGGAACATTAGCCGGCAATTAAGTTTTCGTGTAACGCAGTAGTTTAGTGTGGATTTCATGCTGCCGCATAGAGTTTATACACCCTTATTAGTTAAAACATTTCAACAAAAGGCACAACTAGGGGTACCGACACAACTAATGCTGTGCCGTGTCGTTCTCGTGATCTTCACTATCACCCGAATTGTTTTTTTACGGAGTAACGCGGGGAAAATTTTTACAAGCTCAAAGAAATAAACGCGCAATATTTCAGCAAATGTAGATAAGTGATAGACTAATACGAAGTATGACTATTTAAGATATTACTAATGGCAAAGCTGATTGAGCCACGGCACGTTGTTTTGATAAATCAATAATGGCCGAAAATAATAATGGCGGCGTTGTTGCTAAGGATAGCTAAGGGTGCAAAACAAAGTTATGTGAATGACTCTTAGTGAGCATGGCGTCCCCTAGCAGCATATGGCGACATAGTTAGAAGAAGTTTATGTACAGGTATGTTGATTTCGATATTAGATGTGTTGATATTTTATTTTGTGTTATTTATTTTGATATTTTTAAGAGTTACAGTAGTATTTGATTCATTTAGTAACATTTAAACAGTAGTTCCACTACTATGTCTCAACCACTCTTGTTAACTTTTTCTGTATTTAAGCACAATTTAGAATTAAAAAATTAATTTTTCTGTAATTAAGCATGATTTAGAATTGAAAAATTAATTTTTCTGTATTTAACCACAATTTAGAATTAAAAAATTAACTTTATAAGAGTGCTTGAGACTGATTATTTGAAATAGTGTACAGAAATATTATAGCAGTAGTACATGTAGTAATAGTAGTACAGTGTAACAGTAGTACATGTAGTAGTAGTAGTAGTAGTAGTAAGACTGGTAGAGTATTACAGTGAGTGTGTCACTAGTTTATGAAAGTTGAGTACAAAGTTACATTATAAAAATTCTTCTTTAGCAGTATATTAAGCATCAATTTAATTCAATCAAAATATTTGTTACATTTTTATTTGGGAAGCTTGTATTTTTACATTATTTAATTTATAAGATTGAAAGATGGTTTTTAGAAGTTTTCTAATCAGTTGAGAAACACATTAAAATATTTATCGCAGTTATAAATAAATTGTATATATTACAGCTATTTTCTCAAAACAAATGTATGAACACTTATTATTTGTGTTTCAGTGCTGATTTCTTGACAACTTCAAGGGATACAGAATTTTACACTCAAGATGGTATACAACTATACCAGACCCAGAGGGCCTATTGCTGCCATGTACAGCAGCCCTGGACCTTGCTATGCTTTACCAGGACTTGTAGGTCAACGGAACCATGACATAAGAAGCTCACATGGAAAAGCTCCTGCATATGTCTTTGGAATTAGGCAAGGCAAAATTGTAGATGACTGTAGCCCTGGACCCTGCCATTTCCCTACTGCCAAAATCTATCGTGATGGCCAAGATGGCACACCTCATTACTCTTTGTACAGCCGCCAGAAGTCTGGCCGTCATTTCAATGTCCCAGGCCCAGGCACTTACTCCCCGGAAGCTGTTGGCCAAAGTGCCTATTATCGCCATCCTAAATACAGCTTTGGTTCACGCCACAAAAACAGGAGGACTGACAGCATCCCTGCACCTAACAACTACTGCCTTCCTGGAATGACTGGCAAAACTATCCAGAGCGGCAAACGTCAAGCTCCATGCTACTCTCTGACTGGACGCAGTAAAACGGGAAGCTTCCATGAGGATTTACAAAAGGTAATTTGCAATTTTGTTAAACATGTTTTCTGGGAGATATTAAAAGCCAATCTAAAAAAAATCACAAAATGAGAACAGGTTCTGTTGCAGAGACAGTATTTTTTTCTCATTACCTCATTAGACCTAAATTTGTTTCTGTTCAGAGAGATATCTTAAAGAATCCTCACTTGTTGAAAAGTTTGTAAAGATTTTATTATTTTTTTCAGACCCCTGGACCTGGCACATATAACACCACTAATCCATCAGTGAACAAGGAAAGGGCCCCACTTTACAGTATGACCAGCAGAAATGTTATGCCAGGGGACACCACCCAGAAGCCAGGACCAGGAGCCTATTCTCCAGAGAAGGTATTTTCATTGTTTATTTTGATTCATTGACTAACCTGAAGAAAAAAAGAGGTCTACTTGATTATGTCAGTTTAAGTATGTGACTCTCAGATTGGTCCGCTTATAGAGAATAATAGCTTTTTTTCTTTTTAAAGCTATTGTAAAGTATTTCACATTTGTAGCATCTTTTATCCCTCTGTACATTTTGTAAAATTTTGCATTCCCTGTGATGAAGAATTGTAAAGAATAAAAAATGCCTCAAAACTCTCTTGAAATGGTAGAAATGTGAAAAAAAAGTGAACTGAGGAAGATGCTAAAGAGGGGAAAATACTGGAAATGGCTCTATATAATTTAATGTTTAAAAAACATATTTGAAAATGAATATCAAGGTGAGAAGTTTTTACTGTAAAATCATGTATTTTCTATATATTTCAGGTTTGGATAAACAAAGTTGAGCAACCGTTGTTCTCATTTGGAATCCCACATTCTCAATATTTGGCACCGTTAATCATTGCAGTTGATGATTAGAAAAAGTCACTTATGGACATTGAACTTAAGGATATGAACAGTATACTCTACTTCTGACATTACCTTGTTATTAGTAACATTAAGATGATAAGGATTTCACTTTTTGCCAATATCAGAGCAACACTTGTCATAGAACACACATTTTCTTATAATTAATATTACTTAATTGACACTGATTCTTTGGAATTTATTGAAGGTGGTTAAAAAAGAATACAGTGGCCTAGAAAAGATATTGTAGACCAATGCACATCGTGCTGTAAGAGATTGTTAAAGCTAAAATAGTAATATTATGCATCAATGTGCCAAAAAAACACACTACTAGTCAAGTAAAAATTGTTGTAATTTAATCTATTTGTGTATGTGTATATGTGCAAATTTGCTCATTTGAGGTATTTAACATATTGTAACTTATACAGAATGATTTGAATAAATTATCTACTGAATTTTGTTTCAAGAGTTATTTTTAGTTTTGTTGCTACTATATATGTCCTGGAATTGGCCTGTGTTTGTAAAAGTATTAGATGAGTAATAATGTTGTAGTAGCTCACATCTTAAGTATTGTTAGTAGTATATTTGAAAAATAATTTAATGCACATGCATTTTCATCACCTTAAGATCTATTTCCATTTCTTGTGCATGTGTCAGTTTTTGCTTTACAGATACAAAAGATGGTTAAATGGCTTGCAGCCACAATATTTGACATAGAAAATGACCATATGTTTTTACACACAATTTGTTCCATGGCCGTTCACTAAAACACACACACAGAAAAAATTTGAATATTTTGTCAAAGCATCTTGTTTTAATGTAAATTTTATTTATTTCAGTGCCTTTCGTAAGTCTTATTACTCAACATTGAAGATGGTATACAACTATACCAAACCCAGAGGGCCTATTGCTGCCATGTACAGCAGCCCTGGACCTTGCTATGCTTTACCAGGACTTGTAGGCCAACCAAATCATGATATCAGAAGCGTTCATTCAAAGGGTCCTGCTTATATCTTTGGGATCAAGCATGGTAAAACCAAAGATGATTGCAGCCCTGGGCCCTGCCATTTACCCACTCACAAGATCTATCGTGATGGCGCAGATGGGACACCCCATTACTCCTTGTACAGCCGCCCACAAGATGTGAAGTCCTTCAGAACCCCAGGCCCAGGCGCTTACTCCCCAGAAGCTGCTGGCCCGAGTACCCATTTCCACCACCCTCAATACAGCTTTGGTTCACGCCACAGAAACAGGAGGACTGACAGCATCCCTGCACCTAACAACTACACCCTGCCAACAATGACTGGCAAGACACACCAGAGTGGCAAACGTCAAGCTCCATGCTACTCTCTGACGGGACGCAGTAAAACAGGAAGCTTCCATGAGGATTTACAGAAGGTGAGTTGCAATTTTATCTGTTTACCAAGTTTTCTGGGAGTTAATGAAAGCAGGTATAAAAAAATAATTTGATGAGAATGGGTTCAATCTTAAGGTTAAACTTCATAATATTTTGCCTAGGTTATTTGTCATTTAGTATAATATTTTAATCATTAGAAAGTATGTTTTACATAAAAAGAAATTTATTGTTTATTTCTGCACATTTTCAGACCCCCGGACCAGGAACATATAACACCACTGCACCATCAGTGAACAAGGAAAGGGCCCCACTTTACAGTATGACCAGCAGAAATGTTATGCCAGGGGACAGCACACAAAAGCCAGGACCAGGCGCTCATTCTCCAGAGAAGGTAAGATTCAGTGCTATTGTTAGCTGCTAAATGTGAGTGAGGAGAGGGTTAATCACTGACCAACCAAATTAGTTAATGTTGGTCAAATTTTATTCCACCAATTATTGATGTGTTTGTTAAAGGCTTGAATCTGAGACCCATTCAAATGTGCCGTCCTGACCACTGTTAGGCCTGTTGGTCATTAATAGATAAACTGGTTTTAATCAAGTTTACAAAAACTTTTTTTGGGGAAAAATGATGCAAAAGCTATGGGGCACTTCTAAGTTTAAAGAGACTTTATTTCCTCTTTAATAAAGTGAAGTTTACGAGTTTCTTATGATATATATTTTTTATATATTTTTCAGTTCTTTCCACACAAGAGAACAAATCCCAAGTTTTCATTTGGAATCCGTCACTCAGAGTACATTGCCCCACTCATTGTTGACCCTGTGGAATGATCTGATGGACACATGCAAAAACTTGTGGATCTTTTTTTGAACAAGAGTATTATATAAAACAATTATATCCGTCATCGACAACTTTAATGCGCCATTCATCATACTGAGAGACCATTTGTCAATGGTCAGTGAAGTACCAGTAAAATGATCATGTTTCCGTCCAAGACATGCACTTGTTGAGATTATAATCTTGTCAAGAAAGTTTTCCATGTAAAATTTAACTTTTTTTTTATATAAAGATTTGTGTAATTATTTGTAAAATTGCTAAAAAGTCAATAAGGTGTAAAATTTTTCCTGATGCTTGGGGATTGCCACTACACAATATCAAATATTGAGTAAATAAAGGAGTATCTACGGAAGAAAAGCAGATGGATTGGGCCACCGAGTACCACATTGTTGCAGTTTTGAGATTTGCCTAGCAACTTGCATTTTGCCAGGAAAAGGCAAACATTACTCTTTCGATTAATTATTTGCAACAATGTTCTTAAAAGACTCGAGGAAATGTTGGTTAAATGGCACCCTAAGATGGGAGAATTGGATTTGCTCATTGATAATATGTATATAACTCCCTCTTTGTGCTTGAAAATTATCTTCTTTTATACGTAGTATTGTGTTCATACAGTGAAGTTGTAGAATTAAAATATTGTGTAGTAATTCATTCATTTACCATCATTTTAATGTAATAAAAGACATTGCATATCAAGACATCTAGAATATCAATAAAATTAAGTGAATAAAATATTTTATAATTTACATCATCAGTGTTGTTTTGAACATATTTTGGACAGTAAAGGAATTGTAAAATTCAATGTAAATAGTTTCCGAAGACTGGAACATTACGGCAAGTTTAGATAAAGAAAGCTTATATACAACCTGTACAAAACCATTCTCAATTAATTTCTTTTGTAGGTCTGATGGACCAAAATATTTAAGCATTCATTTTTCTTCTTTCAGTCCCAAGTGTATATTGAAATGTAGACACGCATGCTTGCACAAAAAATAATAAAAAAATAATCATTAATTAAATGAAAAAATGGCACTGTTAACAATGCTTTTAACTTTAAAGTAAAAAAAAAAAAACTCAAGAAGTTATCTACATAATGTCGATTGTGCACTAATATTGTGCAAATAAAAGAGTTTTTTCCTTTTTAAGGGGCGGGTAGGGGTGAGGCAGTTTCATTTTTTATTTAAAGTTCAGTAAAAAATGTGCCTTTTTTATGCCAACAGCAACATTGCAACCGGGAAAATATGCAAAGGGTCAATTAAAGAAACATTCATCAGGTCCATATTTGGCAACAAATTTTAATCTTGCAGGTGGCACCTGCAAAGTTGAAAAAAAAATCAGTTTTACATTTAGATATGCTATAACAAAACATGTTTAAAATCACAATAAATATATGGATTAACCAAATAATAATGTCAAGATAAAACATTTGATAAATTTGTCTGATTAGGCCCATTTGAACTTGACCTGTACTGCATTCCTAAGGATAAATCAAGCAAGTTTTAAGTAATGCAATGATACAGATACATGGTTGCTATTGTTAAAGTTATCTGATTATGTTGATATGACTTGCACCTTCAATATATAAAAGGCTGTAATTCATTTAAAGTTAAATAAAAAGCGTCTTTCAGTAAATCTGACAAAAAATTACAAAAAAATATGATAATCGTAACTTTTGTAAATATTTTTCCAAACATGCTGATTTTTAGATTGGCCTGTATTGTGAACACTCGGAACTACCAGGTTTTAAAATATAAACTAAACCATAAACATGATCTGGTAGTACTGGTGCAATAACAAGAGATATACATGAAAAATCCTTAAAAAATTGCGGCCACTTTCGTATAAATTATTTTAAGAAAGCTGATATTCAGTTAAATCTGCATCTGACACCACTTCTAGAAGACACTGACAGACACAGGTGAATGTTATATGTAGTCATACATGTGACTGTACATAATGACGCTAAAGATGAAATTGTATAAAAAATATTCCCAGGTGGCTCTTACAGCACTGCACATCTAAACTGCATTGCTAATGTTGCTAATTTATAAAAACCTGCCAAATGATACTGGATCCAATAAATCTATCATAATAATGGCAACTTGAGAATTTATATAATATGACACACAAATTGGTTACAAGTATTCACTTATAAAGTCTGTACAATTTGGGTATGTGCGTATTTTCAATGCTATCATAATTACAATAATCATCATGTGGGAATTTGTAAGACTGACTGCTCATTTTTAATATACATTTACATAAAGCACTAACATTTTGCTATGATATGCTATTTTGCAACTATTTTTCCTACCTATCATGTATCACCATACAAAAAGCATCAATGAAAAGATACAAATTGTATCAAATAAAATAAAAACAAATTGACATCTTAACAATCAACACAAAGCACATACCCCCCCCCCCCAAAAAAAAAAAAAAAAAAAAAAAAATTACAAAAAATTCCCAGTGATGTTAGCATCAAATGCAAAACAAACAAACAAACAAACAAAAAAGTAAACAGTACCTGTACTGCTGAAGGAATGTTTGAAATTCAAAATATTTACTCATAAATATTTATGACCTCTGGTCTTTTCTATTAAAGAGAAAAGTATATTACAAGTGAGAGATCATTGCTACAATTAATGACCTAAAATGACAGTGGCTGACATGTCTAAATGATCAACTTCACAACATTTTTTATGCAATGCAAATGGCACATATACAGAATATACACATCTAATGCCTTACCTGATAATCTATGAACAAATTTAAAAAGATCTTCAATACTTCGTCAGCTCAAGAATACTTTTCAGAATAAGTCTAATAAATTACACTTTTTTATTATTTTTAACCATAATCATGTCTTGCAATAGTTACCTAAGGCTAAATGCTTTTCTTTTTCTTGAATTCCTCTCTTGAATTCTAACAGTCAGCATTTGCATGCAACATTCCTTTTTTGCACTGGTGTAAATGACATTTATAATTATCATGTTAATGGGTAATCCAAATATACTTAATTCAATACATTTAAGTGCCAACTGAAAGAAACAATGCCAATATAGTATACTTGTTTGCATTCAAACACTATTAACTCATACCTGCATCTGCAGTAAATATGACATAAGTGAATATTCTAAAACACACACAAAATATGTCTCATCCATCAAAACATCTCTCATGCTTCTTAAAATAAATTAGTGTTCAGCACAGAAAAATAAATAATTCTTTTGTTAAAAATAATCATTGTCACAATTCACAAGGGAATCCATCTGCTGGATTTCCTCTATCCTTCATCAATCCCTGTAGCAGTTTCGTTTTTCATTATACTAGTCAAATTGAAAAAACATTTATTCTTCTGTCAGTACCTTCTTCCTGGGATATGGTTGAGTTTTTTATTCTTTTTTCTTTACCCACTTGAACAACTAAGTCTTTGTCTGTAAGTAATTTTTCTGATATGTCACCTTTCATGTTTGATTTATTCTCAGGTTCTGTTGTACTGCCACTGTTGCAAGAGCCATTAAATGAACAGCATGTCTGACCAGCCTGAAATTTAAAAAAATTAATCAAAGGGATAACACTCATCATATGAGATTCAAAGTTCACAATAAATACTCTGTAAACAACACAAAGAAACATAGTAAATTACATTTAACTACCATATTGTACCATGTCAACCTTCATAGTTGGGTATACCCTCCATAATAATATCTATATAGGTTACTACAAAAAACACAACATTTTTTAAAAGATCATTAAACTAACTTTGAATGTCAGAACAGACTCATTAACCATTAGGGAAGTATGGGAATATTGTCGTTTAACCCAGGAAAATCCACTTTATGGCACTTTACCTGCCAAAATGAAGAGTTGCACGTACATAGAGATTAATACGAAGACTAAGACCCCATTTCCAGAGATTAGATCGATCTACTTTAGATCGACCTAACTCCCTGGGGGTTCACGCTAAATAGCTGTCAGCCGAGCGGACATGAAAGTTAATTACTCCTTTACAGCTTGTAGTAGGCGGATTATCTGACAGTAATCTAGTGAGACTCTCTGCGGGGATAGATCGATCTAAAAGCTCTGGGAATACAGCCTAATATTTACAGAAATTTAACACACTGATCATTTTTATTATTACACACATACATACATACATTTCACCTGTACCTAGGGGAGTATCTTTCTTTATTATACAAAACCTAAAAATGCTCTTAATTAAAAAAAAATTATTATTACCTTGCATTCACAACTGACACATGGGTCGTCTGCCAACCAAAATATGTCACCGTGTTGATAAGTCAAACCATTATATGTGCAAACACTGTTCCATAGTGGGACTTCTCCAACATCAGCACAAGGATCTTGGATTACTCTGTTATCACTGTTTTTATCATCTAGGCATTTTGGACAGCAGTCCTCTTTGCTCTGTTGTGCTTGTTGGCAAGGTAGAGGAGGACATTTGACAGGCCAACAATCAATTTCTCCATGCTAGGGAAAAAAATAATAAAAGGTTTTTTTTTTGATGTTACACGATTATCTAAGAATACACAGAATGGCAGGACATCTTCAATATCTCCAATGCTCACAGAAAGCAATTTAAAAAGTTTTAAGTACAATAGACAACATTAAGCCCCATTCCCATAAATGCTATTGGTAGATCAATTTAACTCTGCATGGACTCTTGCTGAGTGCAATCAGATTAAGAGATTCACGTACATGCCTCCTGGTGTTAAGTAGAATACAGAAAAGCTGTTGTTATATGAGTTTGCAGGAAACAAGAGGCATATGTCATTCAGCTGAGATGGTTGCACTCAGCAAAAGTGCCAGCAGAATTGGATAGAGCCCAGAACTGTATGGAGCTACGAAGACCGATGATGTCTATGGGAATAATAAATCTATAAATTAACAGCTTTGAACTACAATTGTACCAAACTTACAATTTTACATTCAAACAATATTACTCAAGAATGAAGTTGTTCTCAGATTCTTCTTATGACATTGGAAGCAGTACTCACCAAGCACTCGCATTCTTCACAACCCTCAAACCATCTTTGGCCGTTAGTGTAGTTACGCCCCATGTCCAGGTCAATACACTGGTAGTTAACATCGCACTGTGGACAACAGTCACGATCAACATAATTGCTATTACAGTCACAGTCTACAATGTTGCACCTCACAACACCCTCCTGGAAAAGATACAGGGAAAGGGACATTACTAAAATCTCAACAAACACATTTTTAATGAAAGCTTGAACATCATTAAAATGGTTACACTTTCTGCTGAGTCGTATTTATTTACCAATCAGCATCAAACTAATAGGACCTTTAGTTACTATTCTGATCAATTTAATGGACAACTTGGAAAATGTATTTTATTATTCTTCCCACTATCTGAAGATTTTACTGAATCTAATTTTGATTTGAACTAATTTTATTTAGGTTTGTTTTATAATCTGAGTGATCAGAAGGCCAAATAAATTTTTGGTGAAGACTGATCACAAATTTAATGCGATAATACAAGGGTGAAAGTTGTAAAAACTGAAAATCCTGAAAACGTAGCTTGCAATTTATCATCACATTTAGACCATATGAAAAAGCAATCAAAATGAAGACTGAAAATCTTGAAGTCAGGGATAATCCTGAAAACTTTCACCCATAATAAAATTTAACCAATTTCTGCTGTCATTTTTTTTTCTTTACCTTGCAGGAGCACATAGAACATCTCTCATCATCTGCCTTCCACATTGTTCCACTGGCATACTCCACATCTTTGTACATACAGCCTATAATTACATTAAATATATAATAAGACATTCAAGATATACAATAAAAGAACTTTTCCCTACACATAAATCTTAATGGATAATTTCATGCAACTGTCCTAAATTGACACAAGTACACATACACACTATTTCAAATGGGCATATTTTACACTAAACGAAATGCAAAGTTGACAAATGCCACATACCCAATTTACTTTTTTTTCTATACATACATACCATTCCATACAATAAGAATTTAAGCTAACTACAAATATTCACTGTTGGTGTTGGAGTATATAATTCCATATTTACTCCAATGTAAAAATTACTGTTGGTAATATTCTAACGAACAGATAACCCGAACTGCAGAAATCGGTTACTTAATAAGGAATAATCATTTTATATCCTAAAACTGATTTGTGCTAGTCTTGCACGAATATGTAATACTACTTTCCAGTATAGACTTACTGTTGTTACACTTGGACACACTGTTTTCACTGCAGTTGCAGTAGTAACCACCCAGTGTATTGATACACAGTGCATTGGGGTGACATGTGTGACCACCCCCTTCCCCTTCACACTCATTCAAATCTATAAAAGAAAACAACAATAAAATGTAAGCCAAGGTAAAACTCGACAAAAAAATTATTTCAAAACTTAATTGCCATCCTTCATTTAACTTCTTCATTCATGTATTAGTGTAGTGCATTCAATACCTATAAAAAACTCATCACTTTTAACATATTAAATGACTGTAACTTTTTATTTATCAGTCTATCATATTAAAACATTTGTTCACCTTGACAGAAATCTCCGTCTTTGCTGTGTCCATGTATGGTCTTGTAGCCCTCCTTACACTTACAGTAGTACCTGCCAGGGAGATTGACACACTCAGAAGAGCTTGGACAGTTGGCAATGCCCAGGACACACTCATCCAAATCTGCAGGTCAAACATGGATCATAAAATAAAATCTTAAATGGCTCCAAATAGCTAAAAACATTTTTTTCTGAACTGCTCATATCTTATTTCAAAAAGTCACAGCAATAAAAAATTATCCTCAGTTGCGTCATACCTTATAAAATAGTCACAGGAATATATAAAATACAGAGAATAAACACAGTAACTTAATTGGTTCAACTAGGTAACATCTCTTACCTTGTTGACAGTCATGTCCCCCGTAACCTGGCCTACACTGACACTGGTCGGGCTTGACACAAGTACCATTGTTTCCACAAGGAATGCTGCAGATTGCTGCATAAATATTACATTATTATTCATTTAATATTTTTCAATGGAAAAAAGATTTTTTTACTTGAATATCGACTGACAATTATTGATAAATATTATATTAATTAGGACATGCTTGAACAATATAATAAATATTTTATGCAAATGAATCCCAAATTCAAAAGTTCATTACGATAACTGAATGCTATTTAACCCTTGAATCTACTCATATATTTTTGTATTCATAGCTTTGGTTCCTTTCTCTGAATACTTACGAGTACAAAGGTATCCATCTCCACTGTATCCTGGCAAACATTCACATGTGTGAGAGCCAATGGAATTCTTGCAGACGGCATTGTCATGGCAGCCATGAAGTCCACTGTCACACTCATTTATATCTTTTAAAAAATAATGTAAAATAATGTGGATCTTTTAATATAAAATTGTTTTGTAAGTAGTAAGTATGAGAACTTACAAAAAAAAAATCTACTGGCAAAAAATCCATTTGTTAAATTTATTTTCTACTCACCAATCAAGTTAGTAATCACATTTGTAACATGATCATCTTAATGCAACACAACAGTAACAGCAACCTTGCTTAGTAAAATTACCTATGCAGTTGTATTCATTCACTCTAGTGAATCCAGCTTTACACTGGCACACGTAGGAGCCTGGGACATTGGCACAAATGGTGGAGTCTGAGTCACAATGGTTTCCATCCTGGCCACCCTTCTTCAAACATTCATTAACATCTACATCAAAATTTTGATCAAAATGTCATTTCTTGGTGAATAAGACACAAATCAAATAAAAACTGATTATTCCATACTAATGTTCGTTGCTATTGTTTAATTGTGTAAAAAGTAAAGTATATACACACACTTTGGATATGGTAAGTATACTGTATAACGTATGTTGGATCTCACCTTCACAATGACGTCCATCGCCAACAAATCCTGCATTGCACTTGCAATCATAGCGAGTCTTTAGGTTGATGCAAGTGGCGTTGCCATGGCAATTGTTTCCTTTTTTACAGTAATTGCTATCTATAACAAAAAAGCAATTGAAGCAACTGAAGCACCATAAATTACATATTTATAATAATTATACACTTGCTGATAGATACATGTAAGTGCTAGTATGCACCTTAAACTTATCAGTCCACTGGTAACACAGACTAGCAGTTCTCTACCTTAACACATATTCCACATCAAAATTTACAAGACTTAAGATGGAATGTGTATAGATTATGGAAAAAATTATTAAAAACCACTGTACTAGTGAAAAATCAAAAGATAATTTTTTGTTACAAAACTAAATCTACTGGTCAGTGGTTGACGTCCCAAATTGAGCTCAGAATAAGAGTTATATTGACTGGAACATGTAGTGCAAATTGTGTCATATTATACCTTTGCATATCTTGCAGCAAGATTTTGCAACGTACACTTGGTTTTCCTCAGGACAATCTAACTCTGGGCACTTCCCATGACGATTCCGCTTCATTATGCCATTCTACAATAAGGATAAAACAAAAAGATTTAAAAACAAGTTTTAATAATTTTGAACAATAAAAGTTAACTGGAGCAGCTGGTAAGGCTGCCGTGTCTTAGCTAGGGCTAGGGATAAGATTATATAATGAATTTCCTGTAATGGGTATGATCGTGTTCTTCAAATTGAAAAAAGTTTGTCTAAGCATTTAATTTCAAAATTACAATTTCTATAAACAACCATGAAAACCTATAATAAAATAAGCAAAAAATCAGCATCTGGTCTAAATTTTTTCAAAAATATATCACAATGCAGCACATTTTGGTTCAAAACTTGTGAAAATCATTTACTTACTTTGCACACGTAATGTTTATTTTTTCCTGGACAAGTAGTTTCATTGTGGTCATAAGACACATTTAGGAACTTACAACCTTCTGTAAAAAAAAATGTACAAATTAATATTTCATACAACTGATCTCTCTGAAAAAGAAATGAGATTTTTAAAATTTATGTAATAGTTTTTACCACAAAAAGATTGCTATAAAAGGCCTAATCTAAAGTAGCCCTAATTAAATTTGTGACTTAGCTTAAAATCAAGCAATTTTAAAGGAAATTTGGGTCAGAAATAATGGCAGATTAGCAAATGCTGCGTAGTAACAAATAAAAACTGACAGAATTTATACATGAATATTTCCCTAGTTGATTTCTCTCGAGTTTTATAGAATTTCATTCTTTTGCACAACTGGACAGATTCACCTTGTTTTGCATTTTGCTCTTGTATTGCTTTTGAAGACCACTTTCTCAGCGTATATATATTTTCATTCTTATTGCTAAAAAGTTGACTCTAGTTCATTGTACAATAAAAATCATTTACAAAAAGACTATAAACCATTGTTATATATTTTCCCAAAAAAAGGTGTTTCTTTTTCTCATTACAATAAAAATCCACCATTTTTCACACACACAAAAAATGATAATTTCACTTTGAGAAGGAAATTTCCCAACATTATGGCTGAGATGGTCAATGGTGAGAAACAGAAACCTTTGGCAAAATTAATATCAATGTTAGTCAAACACTGCATGGGTGACGACTTTATATGAAAGTCTTCAAATCCCTGTTGGGATATCAAATCATCCATTTTACCCTTTGTTTAAGCATTTCTGAGAAAAATTTGGCTAACGAGGGACTTAAAAGATCATCTAAACATGCACCCCTCTGACATATTTTTTCTAATGAATAACATTATCCGAAGAAATATTTTCTTACTTAAGCAGACTGGACAACATCCCTGTAGCACTGTATGTTTACAATTGGTGGCTGGACACGGCAAAGGTCTGCAATCCACTTTACCATTCTGTAAAAAAACTTTAATGTCAGTTATATGGGACGCATGACAAGTACCGGTTGGTCCATAAAACTGACCTATATTTTACTTTCCATCTCAATTCATAATAGGTCATTATGGACCACTGTACAACATGCTAGAAAAAATATGTAACAATATCAAACTAAACTATATTTTCTATGGTCAATGTTAGCTCAGGTCAGAGATGACAACCTCTGTAGATAATATGAGAGTTGCAATCTTGGAGATGGTCATGTTCAAAAACATTAAATCAGTCCATTCCATACACTTCTGTACATATACAACCAATAGCATATTACTCAAAATCACATGGACTTTTTGGTTTTGTCATTTCCAATAACAGTATTGGATTTACTTTGTGACGTAGGCCAAGAAATGTGAAGATCCTGGGTTTACCAAGCATGAAGATCTCTTTCTCTGCCTTGTAAGTATGATATGGAAAGAAGGGTGGGGCACTGTATTTTTGCCAGCTTGACTGAAGTCTTAGCCTATCTGTGTGAATCTGCTGTTTCAGACTTTTCATGGCAATGATCAGAGTCTATTTAGTGTGTAGACAGCTGCTTACGAAAACAGAAAACTTACATCTAGTTTTGCTATAAGAGTGAATATTTGAATCTTGACCATGACTTTGATTTGCGACAAATTTCATCACTTGCCGCCAATTGTTTTCATAAGAAAAAATACCAGTACAAGGCCTTTAAATTCTGAATATCTAACAACCATGTCCTGATTCCAATAAAGGAGTATTTCAACAGTAAGACTGAACAAAATTTTCTCCAATAGTTTACCTGACATTTGCAAGTTGTACAATTCACATCCCATTCTGCACCAGCTTCATATTTCTTCCCTTCAAATGTGCAGCTCTTGGAGCAATCACAAGCTTCCAGGGCAGACAGTCTCTTCTCTGTTGAGATCAACTGTTAAATTATAATGGGAAAGTTTATCGTTTTAACCCTACATGTGGCAAAAATCATAAATCATATGTAAATATTACAACATAATTTTAATGTTCTGTAAAAACCATTTAATCATGTGATGAAAATGAATGATAATTAAATAATTGCATCACAGAAAAATAAGAGTGAAACATCTAATTACCAAAACAAACCTTTGCATTGAGGAGCTCTATATGGTTATAAAGGTTTTGTACCATTTCTTCTAGTTTTGCAAACTGGCCACAAGTCGGGCAGGCTAAAATGGAATATGAGTGTTTATAACTGATTTTTTAAAATTTCAAATATATCAAACTGAAACTTTAATAAACCTTCTGATAGTTGAAGAAAAGACCTACTTTTTTTCAGTTAAAATCAACACCATGATCAGTACATTCAAATTTTTGCACACCAAATCTTGGAATTCAAACCATTATTGTTGGAATACAAATTACTACGTACTGTTATAATTTTTGTGAAGTGTCCATGCTTATACTATTATTTATAGAATATACCTTTGTTGCAATAATTACCTGTGTCTGCCTCAGGACACTGTACTAAGTAACCATAAGGTCCTGAAACTATCTTCACATCTTGCAATATGCCCTGAAAAGAACGTTACTAGAATAATTTAAAAGTATCCATAAAAGAACATGGTTACCATTATCGTGCAAAATTTTAATATAAAGAAATTCATAGTAAAAAAGAAGCTTGAAGTATCAGAGGCAAAACGGAATAAATAAAAACAAAAATCTTAGGTTTCAAGTATGAGCAAGTGGTTTAGATGTGACACTGTGCTTATATTACTTTTAGTGGTAAAAGTGTGTTAGTTGAGAAGCGTATCCATAATAATAATAATTAAGTTAAATTAACATTTATTACGCATCCAGATCAGATTAAAAAAATGTGAATTTTCTTAATCACATCTGGAGGAACAATTTTCTATGCTGGGTCTTGTTACAGCCACAGTATTCTACATAGTAGTCATCGAAAAGTATGCATACAATATATACCCATGCAGTATCTGTGATAACTTCACAAACCTTAAATTCAGCATGCTTACGGCGTCTTTGGCCTATCCATACTTTGAGCTTATCTTTATTCAAAGTCCAGTCTATAGTTGGGATTAATCTTTGGAAGGTATTAATGCAATCAATACGCACTGTCACTTCATTGCTACTGACTGCTATGGCCACTTTATGCCATTTGTTATCTGCAAGCTGATATGGGAATGTTTCAATGTGGACTGTATTATTATTATGTAAATACCGCAGACGAATTTCACCCTTCCTTCCACTGGACTGTAATTCAAATATTCTGAAAACAGAAGAAGACAATCTGTTTTGTGTATTTTTTAGATTTATTATCATTTTTGACTTTTTAAGATTAATTCATTCAGTTTATGAAATGACCATTGCTCCAAAGCCCTGTGATCACAGATAATCGACATTTGTAAACAACCTACAAAACTAAGAAAACAGTTTCATCAGATCTGTGAACAGTTAATTATATTGAAAAACATTCAAGAAAATTTGATCCACAATTTTTGGGGGTTTCTGTTTGCAGTTTTGTCTAAGTCTCATTTTGACTTCACAAGTGAAGCAGTCAGTGCCAATCTCTAGTCAACCTCGTCTCCCCTTAGAATGGACTATATACACTCAATTTAATGGCAAAACTTTTCAGTATTATACACAATAAGGCAATTTGATTTTCATATCTGTATATGCCTTAAAAGGTTTAAAACCTACCTTTTTTGTCCAGAGCACAATGTGACTATACTGCCAACATTTCCTATCTTTTGTTTCACTACAGCAAGTATAGTAATCTCCATATTCCCTTGCAACACTAATGGTTTTAATGATTTCTCTAATGGGATTGAATCTAGTTGAACACTTCTATGAGAATCTGAAAATAAAAAGGCATTTCACTTTAAATACATCAAACTATTAAAAATAAACACATTAAAGAATTGTAAAAAGAATTGTGTACACTGTCTTTGTCAACACCACATTTCTGAAGGACTTTTAAAAGATGGTGTACAATGAATTCCTTAGAGAAATCTTTATGACCATGCATATGCCAAATTAATAATTATTATATTCATGTTTGTTATAGTGTGTGTGTGTGTGTGTACATGTGTGCGGCGTAACTGTTGTGTGTTACAGAAAAATTTCCTGTCTGAATATCAAAATGAAATCACAACAGGCCCAGGCAATGAAGTCTTAACCCAACTGCACTAATCACCTACTGTTTACCTTCTTGGGAAGGTCATATTTAAAAGCCTTATAAAATTGTGCTTTATAACCCCATCACATATCATTTGCAGAGATGAGTAATACCTTAGTTCTTGTTCTTAAAAAAATGTTAAATTAACATTTACAAATGAAATTAAGATCCTAATATTAGATATTCAGGGATATAAGAAGCAAGTACGTAAGCATCCCCAAGGAACATGATGCAGCATCCGCAGCAGAAAATGTACAAGGATGACAAAGTCCGATCAATAAATATACTCACAAAGATATCCCCCATGATAGACTGTTATCTAATTAAAATTGATTCTACCCCATATCTCCATTATCACTTTTTACAAGGAAATGACTAATCGTGGTCATATCATATAGATTTTTTAAAAAAAACCAACCTCCTGGAGGAGTAAATGTGTCACCCCTCTGCAAATATATACTTCGGGTCGCCACACACATATGAAAAAAAATCTTTAAAAGGCAGTTTGTAATATACATAAGAGAGCTGCATCCTTGATACAAAATGACTTACTCATAGATCGAAGTTGTAGAAATCTATATAAAATAAATCAAATACCCTTGAAAAAAAGGAGAACATTGGATTATTTTGGCTATAATGCAGTATCAGTCATCCTCATTAATTAATTTATATATACTGACTGAGATTCAAGCTGAACCCCAGTGAATCATTGATCAAAGGCAATTTTCATGGTTCAGTGTTGGTGTCTGTCAGTTCACACTGTTCAAGCCATCTTTGAGCAAAGCAAAATCCTAACTTCCATATATTAAATATTTCTCCCTGCACAAAAGTTGTTATTTCAAAGAAGATGATAAAAAATGTTGAGTTTCATAAAAATTATCAAATACAGATTAATTTTAACAGTGGGGAAAACATCACTTTCAAATCAAAATAAGAGTATCTATACAAAAATAAATAATATAAAAGTACAAGCAAATAGCTAGACTCTAGACAGCTAGACTCTAACACTAGTACATGAACATACTGAAAAAAAAAAGATCAGGACTGGGTAATTAAAGAGCTCATACAGACAACATCAATCTCCCAGCTTTTCTTCCTAAATTTGCCGGAACATAAAAAAAAGGCAAAATAACCCAAAGCAAAGCAGTGAATTAGCAAGCCATCAGTCACCAAGTGCCTTGTGAAATGATGCCATAGTTGTGCAGGTGTACTATACCAGGTGCATTGTCAGCTTCCATTTGATTTCACAATATTCATATCTGACAAGTAAGTTAGGATCTTATCTTTCTATCTCTCATGAGTTTTTTTTTTTTCATTAAAACGTGTTCTCACCTTGAAAGAGATAAGCAGGAGAAGAGAGAAATCCCTGTGCAGGAATCAGGCCAGGACCATCAGTGTTGTTCATCCAGTCTATGTTGCTGAGTAGGTCTACTACTTGATGATCAAGAAATGTCAGGCTGCTGGATCCAAATACTGAAAAAAAATTTAACCTCGGATTAAGAAGCAAAATTAAAAACATCATATATAATTGTCTTTTTTATTTGGCTTTTCCCTTAAAAACTGATAGAAACACCAAATATGCACGTGGACAAAAAAAAAACTGAATTATATTCATTGGGAGATATACACTTAATACAATATAATGCAGAAACAATACAGGGGCAATTCCACAGGCTGTTCATTGATAAATGCAATTAAATACAGCCTTAGATAAATCAAGTGCTATCGTATAAATTTGATATTTGGTACCTAAATGTTCATTCTTATCAATATATAATTAGCCATTTGCACAAATCAACAGATGAAAATGAATTAATGTGTGTCTGATGAACGCTGAAAAGAAGTTCACCTCAGACAAAAGGTAGACCGTTATTCAGTTACACAGAAATCATTTACGTCAGCAATAACGGTGTTTATCAGCACCAGCATCATTAAAAATCTGGATAACCCAGGTGAAAAGGGCTTTTGCAAATGTGTAATTTTCATATGATACCGACAAAACCAGTTAGATGGTGTCCAGAAGTGCTTAAAAGACCATGCAATCGCACCACTGTACGTCCCTTTAAATAATAGGCTATAACCACAACCCCGGTGTCTCACATACCACAGAATTCCTCACTAAAGAATTTACATGTTTACTGTAGAGGTCCTTTGAAATGTCATTTCATCCATACCTCATAGATCACTTGCTTTTATCAAAAGTACATAAACCAATGATAATAATGCCAATAATAAGAGACTGAAGAATTTCCTGATCAGGGTATGAGTAAGACAATATAGCATACAGGTGGGATTTTACAGGTGTAAGAACTTACAGCATAACAGGATAAGGTGGGAGGCATTCCAATGGAAGATGGAAGAAAGAAATACTGTCATGTAGCTAATACGAAGAAGGGCAAAATGTTAAGCACAAGGCAAATTGTCAGATCTATTCAGCGTCATGACAAGAATGCTATGTAGATTCTACATGATAAGAACTGTGTGCTTATTTAGTAATCTGTGGGCAACCTTAAAATATTTCTTTAACACCTGTAATGATGAAGTATATATTCAATTCCCTAAAATGGGTTTTTCGTCTATTGTTGTTTGGAATTAAAATAAGGCACAAAAACATTAACTACTGATAAAAGGCACTGAAAAGTAAAAATTGTATCTGAATGAAGTGACTATAATTAGACAGCAAACCTTTGGGGATGCACTATTAACTTAATACATGACATAGGAGGGAAGTGTGGAAGGTCCTGTTTTTTTTTTTCAAAAGTGTTCTTTCCCTCAAGTGCTAAGTAATTGGCCTGTTTTGTCTGTATGTAGATATAGCTTGGGGTACATACACTAGTTAAACTTAAACATTTCTTCACAAACATGTTTTTCTGCCTTTTTTTTCTTTAAAGCAGTTCATTTGAAAAAAAAATGATACATGAATGTTTTATTAAAGATACAAATCTGCCAATATTAATTTTACTCAATCTGACACCTCAATACACTCATAAAACAATAAAATTACCTCTACCTAGAAATGAGCCAGTAACAATCCTAGCTACACATCAGGACGGGCTGGTGATCTTCAAATGAACCCCAGTTTCTATACAGTAGGTGACGGTCCTTTTTAGCGTCATGCACTACATGTTTTGAAAATAAAAGACTTCAAGAAGAATACACAGAACCTGAACTCTACGACTGTTTAAAGTCATTGCTGTGCCGTAGACATGGCTTATAATGTGCCTTAGGCTGTCTGGTTCCACCTGTGTAGTCAGCACCCCCGAATGACATTCAACATATAGGCCACCAAGGCCTACTTTTATAAAGCATATAGAGAATACTTTCTGCTAGGACGTGTGTTAATGAACAACCAAATCGGATTTAGATAATTCTGAATTATCTGGATACGATTAGACTGTCTGTTCATAATACCTCTGCAGTGCACATATCTTTTAATTACCACACAGATCATGTTATGGCATAATGAGACATAATGAGAAAAAAGTGGTCACAGTGATAATAATGACTAACCTGTATCTGTGCAGTGAATATATAATCTAAAGTGCTCACCTTTTCTATTCTAGGACGTAAGAATGCTAAGGATGCTCCCCACCCAGTTCACACACAATTAATCTTGTATGTTAATGTGTTTTCTATGTCAATTAAGACTTAAAAGAGAAAAGTTGACGATAGACTTGAAAGTATTTAAAAGACGATCTTAGTCCATAGGCACTGTAAAATGTTGGGGTAATTTGTTCAAATCAATAACTATGTACTTAAACACTGTGATGTCTTTTCTTTACAAGATCTTATGGTTTTTATTTCATAAAATACCTTAACATATTTTCATATCTTTGGGAAAAAGATTTTTAACAAACAGGCATATTCATTATATCAATAAATGATTTGTTAAAAAGTTTCTTTTAGCAAAAAGAGTTCCACTTCTGATTCATAAAGAAAATAAGGAAAATTACAAAAAAAAAACATATGATATAAATAAAAATTTCCAAGAGCAAAATAATGTTTCATATTTTGGCATCACATT